GGCCCGTCTGCTGTGGGACTGCTGAGGTCCACTCCAGGCCCTGCTTGCCTGGGATCACCTGCAGTGGCTGCAGAACAGTAAGGGTCACTGCCAGTTTCTTCTTCTGCTATCTTTGTCCCGGAAGAATACCCGCCAGATGTCAGTCTGAGCTCTCCTTTATGAGGTGACTCTGGATATATGGGGCTCAGGGAGTTGCTTGAGGAGACAGTCTGTCCTTTATAGAAGCTCAAGTGCTGAGCTGTGAGTTCTGATGTTCATTCAGAGCTGCTGGGCAGGTACGTTTAAGGCTGCTGCAGCAGGACTCACAAACCCCCCTTTTTTTCTCCCAGGTGCTCTGTCCTGGGGAGTTAGGGCTTTATATATGAGTTTCTGTTGTGCTGCTGCCTTTTTTCACGGCTGCCCTGCCCAGCGAGGAGGCAGCCTAGTCACTGTCTGCCTGCAGAGGCTTTGCTGAGCTGCTGTGGGCTCTGCCCAGCTGCCATGTGAACTTCCTTGCAGTCCTGTTTATATGGGTATAGTTAGAACTGCCTCGGCAATGGCAGCCCACCTTTATAGTGGTGGACTCTCTGTGTAGTGGCAGGCTGCCTTGGCAAAGGCAGGCTGCCTCAGCGATGGTGGACTACCTCTGTAGTGGTGGAGTGCCTCAGTAATGGCAGACACCCCCGCCCCCAGAGGGCTGGACCGTCCCGGGTTCAGCTGTGCTTGCTGTGAAACTCTCAGTCCAGAGTGTTTCAGATTGCTGATTTTTGGGGGAGTGGGACCAGCTGAGCCTGATCACTTGGCTCCCTGCCTCAGGGTCTTTTTTTTCTTTTTAGTTGAACGCTTGACTGTCTCCCAGGTGTTCCAGTCACCTGTTGAAAATGCACCAGGATCTGTGTTATTTTCCTTGCTGCAACCCACTGTGCCCGAGTCGGCTGAAACAGCGGCGCTGAGATTCCTGTCGCGTTTTTGCCTGGGAATCTCCTGGGCTGGCTCCCTGTTTTAGTCCCCTTTTCTATCAGTTGAATGGGCGACTGTCTTCCCAGAGCTCCAATCGCCAGCTAAAATGGTGTCTGGACCTGTGTATTTTGTATGGAGAACCGCTGTGCCGGGGCGCCAGCAAAACAGCCGTGCCGGCCGAAACAGCCGCGTTGGTGACCCATGGGGCTCCTCTGCCTGGGAATCTCCTGGTCTGTGGGCAATAAAAATCCATCTGGAAATGCGGCGTCCACTCACCCTCTGTGCTTTTGCTGGGAGCTGTAATCCTGAGCTACTCCTAATTGGCCATCTTGGATCTGTCCCCTATTTATTTATTTATTTCAGATGGAGTCTCATTCTGTCCCCTAGGCTGGATTGCAGTGGCATGATCTTGGCTCGCTGCAACCTCCACTTCCCAGGTTCAAGCAATTCTCCTGCCTCAGCCTCCTGAGTAGCCGGGATTACAGGTGCACACCACCAAGCCTAGCTAATTTTTGCATTTTGAGTAGAGACAGTGTTTCACCATGATGGTCAGGCTCGTTTCGAACTTCTGACCTCAACTGATCCACCCACCTTGGCCTCCCAAAGTACTAGGATTACAGGTGTGAATCACTGCACCCAGCCTCGTCTAAATTTTTAAATTGCTTTTGTAGATGGACAGTTCTTGTTTTATTTGCTACTTTTTTTCCCCCATCAGTAGTCTATCTGAAAGAAGGAATGTGTCTTTGTACTGTTTGGTTCCACTTTTGTCACTGGCTTTTATCACTATAGGCCTGGCTACCTGCTCATCAAATATGCAGATCCCTGGGTAGGACAGCAGCTATGTTGGATGACAGAAGTCAGGCTCCCAAACTTTGGGTAAACAGGAGTTGACATGGAACTAAAGATGATGAAATGCAAAAGGATAAAAAAATAAAGCAAACCAAAATATATATAAGATGAGGACACCACATGGGAAAAAGCCTTTGAGCTGACACTGTGTGTGACCTTTGGGTATTAAAAAAATGTTTTTTAAACCTCAGACTACTCATCTGCAAAATAATCTTTCATTCAAATATTTATGAAGTGCTTATTTACGAGGCATTATTCCAGGAACTGGGGCCACAATAACGAACAATACAAAGCCCCATCCCTCTCCTCACTGAGCTTACATTCTGGAAGGGGAGAAAGAGAATACATATACAATATGAGGTAGTGATGTCCACGGTGGCTTACGCCTGTAATCCTAGCACTTTGGGAGGCTGAGGCAGGTGGATCACCAGAGGTTGGGAGTTCAAGACCAGCCTGACCAACATGGAGAAACCTTGTACAAAATCAGCTGGGCGTGGGTGGTGGTGCGTACGTGTAGTCCCAGTTCCTCGGGAGGCTGAGGCAGGAGAGCTGCTTGAACCCGGGAGGCGGAGGTTGCAGTGAGCCGAAATCTCGCCATTGCACTCCAGTCTGGGCAACAAGAGCAAAATTCTTCTCAAAAACAAGCAAACAAACAAACAAAAAAACCCAAAATAGAATACTCATATAAAGCACTTAAAACAGTACCTGGCATTCCAATAGCCTAAAAATAGAAACAGCCCAAATGCTCATCTGCTGATGAATGACTAAGCATGGTATGTCTACACAATGGAATATTATTCAGACATAAGTAGGAATGAAGTAGCGATACATGCTATAACCTGGATGAACCCTGAATGTTTTGCTAAGTGAAAGAAGTTAAACACAAAAGGCCACGAGTTGCATGATTCCATTTATAGGAAACATCCAGAACAGGTGAATCCACAGGGACAAAAAAAGCAGACAGCAGGGACTGCAAGGTGTCGGGAAAGGAAGGAACTTCTTTATGGACAGACGCAGGGTTTTCTTTTGGAGTGACAGAAATGTCTTCTGGAGCCAGACAGAAGTGATGGTTATACAACACCGTGGATGTTATCAAACGTTACTAACGGTAAACTTTGTTATGAGAATTATATCACACAAGAATATATATATTTTTATAGCAAAACGAACAAAACTACCTCTCAAACAGGAAATCACCTAAGTAAATTATTAAATACATTTTAAGGCCGGGTACAGTGGCTCATGCCTGTAATCCCAGCACTTCTTGGAGGCTGAAGAGGGTGGATCACCTGAGGTTAGGAGTTCAAGATCAACCTGGCTAAGATGGTGAAACCCCGTCTCTACCAAAAATACAAAAATTAGCCAGAAGTGGTGGTGGGTACCTGTAATCCTAGCTCCTTGGGAGGCTGAGGCATGAGAATTGCCTGAACCTGGGAGGCAGAGGTTGCAATGAGCCAAGATTACTCCATTCCACTCCAGCCTGGACAACAGAGCAAGACTCCATCTCAAAAAAAAAAAAAAAAATTTTTTTTTAAATAAAAAAAGTCTGGAATGCCACGCAGCCTTTGAAGAGCATGAACATGACCCATAAGTACTAACATGGACAAACGTCTGATATAGTGATAAAAAGCTTCATATCAACATATATGGTATGACATATTAAATCATGTTAACACACACATGCTCACCTGTAATCCCAGTGCTTTTGGAGGTTGAGATGGGAAGATTGCTTGAGGACAGGAGTTTGAGGCCAGCCTGGGCAACATTACAAAACCTCATTTCCACAAAAATAGAAAGAAGTAGCCAGGGTTGGTGGTGCACTCCTATTAGTCCCACCTGCTCAGGAGGAGGCTGAGACGGGAGGATCAATGGAGCCCAGGAGTGTGAGGCTGCAGTGACTGACGATAGGTACCACTGTACTCAAACCTGGGCAAGAGTGACATTCTGTCTCTAAAACAAAAACAAAAAAACAAAATAAGTTGGGCGCGCTGGCCCACGCCTGTAATCCCAGCACTTTGGGAGGTTGAGGTGGGTGGATTACCTGAGGTCTCAAGTTCGAGACCAGCCTGGCCAACATGGTGAAACCCCATCTCTACTAAAAATACAAAAATTAGCCAGGTGTGGTGGCAGGCACCTGTAATCCCAGCTACTTGGGAGGCTAAAGCAGGAGAATCACTTGAACTGGCGAGGCAGAGTTTGCAGTGAGCTGACATTGTGCCATTGCACTCCAGCCTGGGTGACAGAGCAAGGCTCTGTCTCAAAACAATGAAAATAAAATATACATGTTCATGCACAGATATGTGTCTAGAAAATGACTGGAAGGATAATACAAGAAAACTGAGAACGGCAGTCATCTCTGGGGTGAATAGCATAGTGGGCAGGTAATGTTTCCCCTCTTCTTTTTTAAACTTCATACCGTTTCATATTAATTTTGTGTGTGCACAATATGTAGCACTTTGGGGTTTTTAAAGGGTAAGTTCAGAGTTAACAGTGTGACATAGCAGTCAAAAAATCCAAATCTGCTCCTCGGTGGCATTACCAGAAATGCAGCATCTAGAAGTTGGGAGGTAATCACCAGATTTCAGAATTAGATATATGGGCTCTGTAACCCTTATGAGGAATCAGACTTGTCACTTCCTCAGTGTAAGAATTCTCTAGTGTCTGCAGAAGCACATGGTCACAGAGACAAGGCAAGTTCTGCTTCACAGAGTGCAGGGCACACCAGCAGTGGTCACCAAATATTTGCTCAGCATTCTCAGAGTCCCAAACGCCATGTAGGCAAACGATGTTTTGAGCTTTTGCTTAGCCTTTCTCCTTAACTTGTTAAAGAATGCTTTAAAAAATTCAATTAATAGGCTGGGCGCGGTGGTTCATGCCAGCACTTTGGGAGGCTGAGGCAGTCGGATCACCTGAGGTCAGGAGTTTGAGACCAGTCTGGCCAACATGGTGAAACTCCACGTCTAATGACAATATAAAAATTAGCCGGTTGTGGTGGCATCTCTACCAAAGGGTGTCTGTAATCCCAGCTACTTGGGAGGCTGAGGCAGGTGAATCACTTGACCTTGGGAGGTGGAGGCTGCGGCAAGCCGAGATTGCGCCACTGCACTCCAGCCTGGACAAGAGTGATCGACTGCCTCAAAAAAAAAAAAAAAAAAATTTCAGTTAATAGAGGAGCATAAGATAATATTAAGGAAAATCCATCCACAAGCCTGAACTCTTAAAAAAAATCATTTTATTGATCCTTTACCATACAAAATTTATTCAAATTACACCCATTTGAAGTGGTAAGATCACAGCTAGAGAACAGGTCACCCTGTAACAAATCTATTTACAAAATCCATCATAAAAGCTTTTTTTGTTGTTGTTTTTTACATTATATTACATATTTTCTTTTTTAAACTAGCATACAACACAAAGCTAAACTGATTAGTAGTTTGCCTACTCCCAGTTTTGGGAGAAATACTTCCTTTTTACAAAATCACGTACCCCGTAGGAAAAGAAATTCCCACACCCTGACAACTGCTACGCGACTTACTCTGCAAGCCATCTTCCTTCAAATCCCTCCTCCTCATACACACGAGTTGTCATGCACACACTGAATTCCTATTTTCTTTTTCCTGAAAGCTTAAGCTTTAAATACTGCAATTTTATTTACAGATCTACACGTACGACAAAAATGAAAACAAGAACCACAACAAAGAACAAAAAAACAAAAACGAAACAACACTCTTAAAAAAATTACAAACCAGCTAGAAAGTATTCTGGCAGTGTTTACAAATTAATTGCTATTTCTGTACAAAACTGCTAAATAATGAACACGTGAGTAGACTACAACCAACTTAAATAAAACAATTGCTATGCACAACTCTACATATAAACACATACCTAACACTGTTTGACAGCTCATGTGTTGCCTTTTATACATTTTATTTTCTAAGGCTCACACAGTCATAATTCGCAACTTGTAACTTTTAGCCATTTCGTGTGTGAGCTTTTAATAGCAGCAACTCAATAGTACCAGGAAACCTGCATACTTAGTACTTAAAGTAACACAAATACTATAGTACTAACCCACATTGTGTGCCGGATACTAAGTCAAAAAGAAAATGACTTCATGAAAACAGAATACAGTATGGACATCTAATTAATGTACACCAGTTAAGCCCAGTAACTGGAAAAAAAAAAAAATCTATGCATGAAGGAACTTTCAAGACTTATTAGTATTCCTTTCATTTTTAAAACAATAAATACGGCATGACATTATGAAAAAATTCAACAAAACACACAACAATCTAGCCAGGTGAGCTCAGTCTTTAGACTTTGGAAAAAATCAGCTTTGTGCAGCTGGCAAAGAGAATTACACAAAGCTGGAAGCAGAGGCAGCTAACCAGATGAGATAAATATGGGAAATGGGGAAAAGCTTGGCATAAATGGTTTCCCATACAGGAAAAAACCCCACAGTGCATTTCCAGTAGGCACTTAACACAAAGCTCCCTCTCCCTCCCCCACCCCAACGCTTCATCTCGGACCACACTGACGTTCGGTACCAAGTCCAGTGTGTGTGAGGGGAGGAGGCCAGGGATGGAGGCTGAAGAAGAAAAAAGGAAGATCGTCTGCACCTTTGTTTTTCTTCCCAAACATACACCCACGCATACCCACACAAAGAGTTTAAAGTGCTGGTGTCATCTGTCTTGACCCCACCACCACTTTGCATATTGTGGAAATCTACCTGGAGTAAACTGGCTGGGGCTCTTGTGGTTTTTTTTTTTTTTCCCCAAGGGACATTTTCAATTCAATTAAACATATGAGTTGAGTGCCTACTACGTGCCTCCCACTGGGTCAGGCACATAGCATTTCAGTCTAACTGTTCATTTTGAGGTTTGTTCTTGATCTGACTCCCTCATTCCCGCAGTCCTCGGCATCCAAGGAACGGACCAGAGATACCACGCCATATTCCCAGGGGGCGATGGGACTGCCACCTGCCCGAGGGAAAGCCATTCTTGGACGTAACTGGTAGGATTTGCAGCTGACACAAAGCCTCCAACTTGGGACACCATTCCTGAAGACTAAAGCGGAAGATGCCCTGGCATTCTTTTGCTTCATTTTCTACGTTCCCGACTTCCCTTGGTCCAACTTATTCCTTCACAGAGGAAGGGGAACGGGGTCTGGCCAGAACTATTCCAGCCCCCGACACAGTGGGAGCTCCCTGTTCCTGCCAGCTTAAGGAAATGCCACTCACACAACGGGGATGTCTTTCTCCCTAGAGGTCTCTCCATCTGACCCCATCCTGAGAAGTGGTCTCCCTGAGTGCGGTGTAAGAGAGCCCTTTCCCCGGTCACAGGGGCCCGGGAAACCCAAGGATGGAGGGACCCATGCCTGCTGCTCCTTGGGGCTGTCACGTCATCTGACCTGGTTCTCCTTTCCAATGGACACCCATGTCAGCAAGCCCCAGGACTGACTCGCTCCAAGCTCCCCCTCCTGGGAACGGAAGCACGATGGGACAATGCTGCTTGCAGAGGCTGGTAAACCTTAGATCACACAGGTTTAGATGCTCTGATCGGTAGAGGTTCTCTCCCTCTGCTTATGTTATGTGAATTTGCAAAAACCGCTTCAGAGTAAACAATTAAATTGAAAGGGTGATGGGTGCCACAGGAATGCTTAAATGGCAGCTAAAAGAACAAGAAGTCTAAAATGATCCACAAAGAACTAAGTAGGCAATTGCTACAAATCAACTGGAAACACAAATACACTGGGGACAGGGGGACGGGAGTGGTTCATGGAGACAGGAAAATCCACAACAGCTCAGAGTGGCAGAACTCTACGAGTCTTCTGTATCTGCAACAAGGACATTTGAAAACAGGTTCTCCATCCAGAAGGCTGTGGAGGTTTTCTTGACCTCCTACTGGGACACACAGTCCATAGCTTACACTGAATTATGACAGTAATTTAAATATTCCTAAGAAGAGCTGAAGAAATCCATTTCATACTTTTGCATGACTTCAAGTTTGCATTTGCTGCAGTTCCATTCCATATTAGCAGACCCCAAAGACATGCATTCTGCAGAGAAGGCACGGCTTGAAATGCTATTAAGGAAGAATGCTGTTTCCCAGTGGGCCAGGTGGCCAGACCCCATTCTACAGCCCATCCGTCAGGCACAGCAAGCCAATCTGGGAAGGAAGGAGGAAGGAAAAGTCGGGGTGAGAGACACCTGATTGCACATTTTCTCACTTGCTGACTTAGCCAGGAGATCTTGGAGCCTGGAGCAAAGCAAGGCTCTCCCAAGGGAGCCTGCGACTGTGCGTTTAGACACTTTGTTTATTAATTAAAAAAAAGAAATTCACTAAAATGTCAGCTTTCTTCTGAAGTTTGTAGTTTACTTCATGATACTCTCTTGGAGGAAGAAGGTAGGAAGGGACAACACTGCATGACAGATGTTCTGGTTCCATGATAAAAAAAATACCGGTTTGTAAGGAGAGTTCACACGAAGTGTAATCAGCTACACATGAAGTCTTCCACCAGTGGGAGCTTTTCCAAATCATAAGCTTCAAAGAGATCGCTGATGCCTTCCTCCTCCCCGAGGCTCAGGAGATAGTCCTCTTGCAGCAGGGGAGGCAGTAAGTTCACAAACGGCCCTTCTAGGCTGGAAGGAATTTGGTCCTCAGTCTGCTGTAAGAGGTTGGATGGGGAGGCCAGAGGAGAAAGGTTTCCCATAGAAATTGAGCAATCGTTATGTCCTGAGTTGGTTGAAGCCAAGTCTGAAAGGAAAACATTGGTGGAAACAAAAAATAAGTTAGAAAAATCAAATGAATTTTTCTGGAAGAATGTATATGTTGCTGTCAGAAAAAAGCATGTACTTTCTGCTAATAACAACGATGCGATGACTTTGTGATGCGGATCACCTTTTATGCTAACAAGTACAAAAAATTCCTGTCAGCACCCCGCCTTTTATTTTTGAGACAGGGTCTTGTTCTGTTGGCTGGAGTGCAGTGGTGTGATCATGACTCACTGTAGTCTTGAACTCCTGGGCTCAAGGGACCATCCCACCTCAGCCTCCCAGGTAGCTGGGACCACAGGTGTGAGCCACCACCCCTGGTTCATCTTTTTACTTATTTATTTATTTTTTGAGACAGAGTTTCATTCTTGTTGCCCCAGCTAGAGTGCAATGGCACAGTCTCAGCTCACTGCAATATCTGCCTCCCAGGTTCAAGTGATTCTCTTGTCTCAGCCTTCCAAGTAGCTGGGATTAGAGGCACCAGCAAGCATACCCAGCTAATTTTTGTATTTTTAGTAGACAGGCGGTTTCACCATGTTGGCCAGGCTGGTATCAAACTCCTGATCTCAGGTGATCTGCTCATCTAGGCCTCCCAAGTGCTGAGATTACAGGCGTGAGCCACCACGCCTGGATAATCTTTGTATTTCTTTGTAGAGGCAGGGTTTCGCCATGTTACCCAGTCTGGTCTTGAGCACCTGGGCTCAAGTGATCTATCTTCCTCAGCCTTCCAACGTGCTGAGCCACCATGCCAGGCCATCTTTCTTTGGCCCTAGTCTACTCAATCATCTTTCAAATAACTACTGTCAATAAACAAGAATGCAAATAGCTTCAACGATCGGAGGCTAACGAGTTCAAAAATGTCTCTCTGCTATCTAGTCACTGTTTTAAGAAAATCAAAACAAAACATATACATACTGAAAAGCTGGCTTCCCAGTAGAAACTCACCAACTGAAAAAAAAAATTTTTTTTTTTTTAAGGGAAGGGGTCTTGCCACATTGTCTATGCTGGTGTGCAGTGGCTATTCACAGGCATGCAGAGCTCACTCTAGCCTTGAATTCCTGGGCTCAAGCGATCCTGCCGCCTCAGCCTCCCTGTAGATGGGACTAAATGCAGAATTCACCAATTTTAACTCAGTCTTTTCTGAACAACCAGCTTATTAAAAACATCTCTAAAAGTACACATAATAAGACATATCCACTTTGGATTTCTGTGGTGAAAATAGATGGCCTTTTGTTTTACCATTTCAGGTGCTGTAATTTGCTTAGTATTAAATCAGACTTAGTGGGAAGGAGAACTTAGACTTATTTTCCTGGTGTTCTCCTCCCATATCCTTTCCCCATCTCACTGGGGGGAAAAATAAGACAAAAATTCTTCAACAAAGACTTTTCTCTTCAAACTTTTTTTTTTTTTTTTTTTTTTTTTTTTTTTAAGATGGCATCTCACTCTGTCGCCCAGGCTGGAGTGCAGTGGTGCCATCTCGGGTCACTGCAACCTCCGCCACCTGGTTTCAAGCAATTCCCTGCCTCAGCCTCCCAAGTGGCTGGGATTACAGGCGCCCACTACCACGCCTGGCTAATTTTTGTATTTTTAGTAGAGACGGGGTTTCACCATCTTGGCCAGGCTGGTCTTGAATTCCTGACCTCGTGATCTAACCGCCTTGGCCTTCCAGACAGTGCTGAGATTACAGACGTGAGCCACCGCGCCCGGCCTCTCCAAGCCTTTTTCGTTTTCCTCTCTGAGGAGCTATGCAAGTCTCACCCAAAGGTGTGTGGTCAAGTGTCTCTGATGATCCACCAACACAGTTTACAGCTTTGCTCCTCACTTTAGCTGGTTTTCAAAAATGCTGCAAGGAAACGTTCTCTGCCAACAGCAAATGCCCAAAGCCACTCCCTAAGTGGGTGAAGGAGCCATTTTCCCCAAATCATTATTTTATTCTGTAAACCAGTCCGCATGTCTTTTAAAATGTGTTACCTAATAACAATACAAGTTTTTGTTTCTTGACTAGGCTTGTGGTTCCAGTACAGATAGTTCCAGTCGCCTTCATTTTTAACATAGTTTCCAAAAGACAAAAGTGGAATTCTTACCTTTGGAAGTGGGTTTAGGGATATTCCCATTGTGGTCTTGGTTGCTTGTTTTCATTGGACTGTGTGTTTCAGTCTCTTCTGGACATAAGTAAACCTCAATGGGCCCCTGGGTACTTGCCAAATGTATTTGTAGGCTCTAGAACAGAAGTGGGAGACGTTTGAATCCGAAGTTCTTTTAGAAATAGAAGCCCTATATACTAATTTCCATCTAAAAATGGAAAGTAAGAACAATGTTCATTGTTTACTTGCTTCTTCTCTGCTAGTCCAACTCTATCAAAGACTGTCATCCTCTAGTGCAGGGGTCAGCAAACCACAGCCTAGGGGCCAAATCCAGTTCACCAAGTGGGTTTGTAAATAAAGTCTTATAGGAAGAGAGTCACACCCATTCCCATTGTTTATTATTGCCTCTGGCTGTTTTCATATTACAATGGCAGAGGTGCACAGCTGAATAGTACGCAGACTGTAAGGCTCACAAAGGAAAAAATATTTACAATCTACCTGGCACTTTAATTAAAAAGTTTGCTGAGTCCTGCTCTAGAGAAAGAAAACTTTTTTGGAGGCGGGGGAGGTCAGGGGAGCAGGGAGTCAGTCTGAAAATGGCACAATGGGTGAGGTGAATTGTGTTCTTTGGATATATTCTTTTTCTGTAAATTATTAAAAGGTCTTTTAAATGTTCCAAATCCAGTATTTCCATGTTTTTGTTCCTTTATAGTAGGACTTCTTCATGTTGAACTGTAATAACCAAGTGATGTATTCTTAAGTGCTAGGAACTGCATCTATGAAGAGAATGCAGCACACTAACATTTAAAAATCTTTTTCATCTAGGTCAAAGAGCTATTATTATCTTTTAAGGCAAGAAGTCTACCCTAGCTGGAAGCATGTAACTTTCATTCTCTTTTTATCTCCTATGCATTTTCTTTTTACTACTCTTCTTTATGTTATAGTCGTAGTCTAGGCCTCTATTATCCAAGTATATCTGAAAATCATAAAAATATGCCCCCTCCTTTCTTATAATATTGTGGTCTATCAACTAACCCAAAGCCCCGTTTGATCCCTTAAAATGTTATAAGTTAGAGAGAGACTTTAAAACATTTATATATCTGTTCGTGGTGGGAACCATATACGGGATAATCAATATAAACTTTTCAAAGTGGTTCAAGTTGATCAAAACCACCTGAGGGACAGGGCGTCATATTCCACTTTGCACTGAACATCCCGCTAGGTCAAAGTTAGATTGTCTGAATACTCAATGAATATCAAACCGTTAAAATGTTTTTAAATGTACGATTAAACAAAATAAATTGGAAAGAACCATCAAGTTCTTGGGGTAGGGGGACAGACTTTAACTATGAGTCAATGAGTCGTCAATTTCAGGCATTCCAAAAAGATCTTTGCAGATGAACAAAGATGCTGTCTCCTTACCTCTATTGAGTCAGGCACTTCAAGTCTTGTTTCTGGAGGGGCTTTCACAACTATAACAGTTTGGTCTTTAAGGCCACTAATTTTTCGAATATCTTGATATGTAACATAAGCTAACGTAAAGAGTGTCAAGGAATCTTCCATCTAATGACCTCAGATATAAGTATGATGAAAACGACAAAACAGATGCATGGAAAAATTTAAAGTATTTTATGACTTAAAAGTATACATATGTCTTCCCTTCTGGACCTGGAAATGTTTAGGGCCTCCCATGAAACTTCATTTCTGGTTGACACTCTAAACAGCTAAAGAAATGAATAGCTTTATCCCACCCATTTCTTTTTTTTTTTGAGATGGAATTTCGCTCTTGTTGCCCAGGCTGGAGTGCAGTAGCGTGATCTCGGCTCACTGCAACCTCGGCCTTGCAGGTTCAAGTGATTCTCCTGCCTCAGTCTCCCGAGTAGCTGGGATTACAGGCATGCACCATCATGCCCGGCTAATTTTGCATTTTCAGTGGAGACAGGGGTTTCTCCATATTGGTCAGGCTGGTCTCGAACTCTCGACCTCAGCTGATCTGCCCGCCTCGGCCTCCCAAAGTGTTAAGAATACAGGTGTGAGCCACTGTGCCCGGCCTATCCCACCCATTTCTAAAAAGACTGTGGTTATTTAAGATATTAAACACAGAAACAGAATAGTTAAAATAAATGATCATATGAAAATAAAAAACCACTTAGGTGAGAAATTTTATCTTGAAGCCACGGTACTTTGCAGCACAGATATTCCGTGAACTACAATCAAGTGTTCTGTCACTCAAACTGAATGATGGCAGATTCCAATTTGCAGGAAAAAAAAGTTAATCTCTATTAGCCATAATTTTTTTGAAACTCCAGTTACTTCTATCTATAAGCAAGTGTTAGCAGCCACCAAACAAATAAATAAATAAGTAACAGATATGTTAGTGGAAGGACTCAGAATACTGCTCAGGCAGACAGCTTGTTTTCTTAAGCGCACCTGGGCTGCCTGTGATTTTGTATTGCTTGCAAAGAGCGTCATTATTTCTGTTAGAAAAATTATCCTTTGGTACTATGTTAACTCTATCAATATTTCAGTGTTCATGGGGAAGAAAGAAGTTTCCAGGTGCTCTGTGAAACACTGATTCAGGAAATAACTACCAAGAGAGAGTATTCTCAGATTCTGAGAAACACTGATTTAGGAAAAGAGAAAAGAATACTATCTCAGTACTCTTGGTAATTATTTCTTTTTTCTTTTTGAGACAGAGTCTCGCTCTGTCACCCAGGCTGGAGTGCAGTGGCGCAATCTCAGCTCACTGCAACCTCTGCCTCCCGTGCTCAAGTGATTCTCCTGCCTCAGCCTCCTGAGCAGCTGGGACTAGAGGTGCGCACCACCACGCCTGACTAATTTTTTGTATTTTAGAGGAGATGGTGTTTCACCATTTTGCTCAGGCTGGTCTTGAACTCTTGGCCTCAAGTGATCCCTGCCTCCAGCCTCCCCAAGTGCTGGGATTATAGGTGTGAGCCAGCGTGCCTGGCCTTGGCAGTTTTTCTCTAAGCACTGAACAATTCTTTAAAATGTCCTGGCAGCCAAGCCTAAAGGCTATCATGAAAGAACATGGTACTTATGATATGCCAAAAGTATTCAAGTGAGCTTGACACTTGGCACTAAAAAAGAAAAGTGTGCACGGCTTTCTTATATAAGGGACATGGAGTAAGCAATTAATGGACAATGTCTTTAGCCAGTTATTATTTTTTACATGAACCCACAAAAAATTCCTAAAACAGCAAGTAACAAGCCAATGAAGGCATTTCAGCAGGTAGTATAGTGTATATAATAGCTGAGTCTGTGATCTAATATGCTTAATATTAAAAAAAAAAAGGGGGGGGGCTTAGAGAGCCTAGAAGAAATTATGTCCCTTATGATAGTAGCTTCTTTTTTTTTTTTTTTTTTTTTTGAGATGGAGTCCCACTCTGTCACCCAGGCTGGAGTGCAGTGGCTCAATCTCAGCTCACTGCCACATCCGTCTCCCAGGTTCAAATGAATTACGTGCCTTAGCCTCCCGAGAAGCTGGGATTACAGGCGCCTGCCACCATGCCCGGCTAATTTTCTGTATTTTTAGTTGAGATGGGATTTCACCATGTTGGCCAAGCTGGTCTTGAACTCCTGACCTTGAGTGATCCGTCCGCCTCAGCCTCCCAAAGTTCTGGGATCACAGGTGTGAGCCACCATGCCCGGCTATAGTAGCTTCTTATTAGAAACTGAAGGCAGCTAGGAAACCACTCCTCTAGGAAAAAAGCACATTTGCACAAAAGCTGCATACACATGTAGAGCATCTATCAGACTATCTCCTTCAAATCTTATCGTTGGGATGATGGCTAATTCAGTTTTGAGCTGATAGCGTCTGCTCTTGCAGGCTTCTGCGTTTTAGGTCACTACATATACCATCAAAGAAGCCAGTGGATGCCTTTATAGAGGGCCAGGCAGTTCTAAATTTTACTGACAACCAGGTACTTACACTACAGCCCACTGTCAAAAAGCGGTATGACAAGAACTTAGTAAGATAAAAACTCCTTGCTTCTTGGCCTTTTGGCTAAGATCAAGTTTAAAAGAAAAACTCATCTACAATTACTCAACATGCTGCAGGAAGGAAAATTTCAACACATTTGTGAACAAGCTGTACCAATGTGGGAACTGAATGGTGAAATGAAATACATTGTGCAAATATATTTTCTAATCTTACAGACTTAAAAGTGCTTCCTTTGTGGCGCCCTCCTGAATTTACTCCTTGGGTTCTAAGTTCCCTGCAAGGAAGCTTTCATTTTCTGCAACAAAGGCCCCAGAGAAAGCTAATATAGGTGACAATGCCATAGGCCACATGTCCCGGAAGGCTGCCAATCACGTGTAACCACCCATCTCTTCCACAATGGCGCTCCTAACCAAACAATGAATATAACAGCCCAACTGTTGGCTTCTTCCCCTATAAACCCACTTTGCCCACCCCTGGGGGTCCAAATCACTACGCCTCTCTTCCATCTCACGAATTATTGGCTGACAAGGTTAATTCTTTGGTCAACAGGAAATGAACAATTGCAGCTTTGAAAAACTGCCAACATTGGAAGAAAATAAATACCTCCATATCCTCCAAGGGGGAGCCTGTTAAAGATGAGCCACTAGAAGAATCTGGACAGAACACAATTTTTGTCAAATAATGGCAAATGTGGAATCATGGGAACTTTGGAACTAAAACTAGAGATACGATAACTTCCAGTATTGTTTTTTGTCTTCTTCTAATCACTGAGAATACTGGCAAGTCTTCTTGTTTGACATAATGAGGCAATCTCTCATTTTGTCTGTAGTCAGATGATAATGAGCAAATTTTCCTGAGATCATCAATAGATTGTCAGGAAGCTGAGAACAAGAACCGACCTTGTGTATTTTATTTCAAAGGACTAATGTTTGTAGTGGAACAGATGAATTGAAAGGAGTTTCTCAGGTCTTGGGGGGTGCTTCTGAAATCAATTTTTTCTACTGGGAATCAGCAGGATGCACTTTCAGAGTTATAGTATAATTTTCCTCCACTCTTTCAAACCTGTAGCCCAATCAGATAGATTCAATCAATTTCAATTGCTACAATATCTGGTTAAAAGAAAATAGAATGTGAGAACCCCAACAGTGACAGCTAACACCCACCAAAAATCTGGGAAGCCAAAGATGAATCTGCTTAGTGTTGTCATTAATATTAATACTGACACCTTATTCATCTTTTAATAGTGTGGCCTTACGCTATGAGTGTACCCATATGTCTCAACCACACATGAAAAAAACGCTTTAAAAAACAGTTCCCACCTGGTATCAAAATAGATCATAATGGGATCAAGTTGGTGACGATCTTACCATACATAGTGACTTTTTAGGCAAAGCGAACTTGGTTTGCACACACACGTGCATACACACACAGGCAGGCACACGTGTACTCATTCGCGTGACTGAATCGGAGTAACAAACTACCTTGTGCATAAAAGTCAGATTGTCAACTCTGGAAATAGTCTAGGAAGCACTAACCCCCAGTGAACCGGTGGCACAAAGGATATCTTTGATTCTCTGAATCCTCGGTTAACAGTTTGAGGTCCAGGGTGCAGCTTTGGATCAGTTCATCTAATTTCTTCTCTTCCTGACTGAGCTCGGTCACTTCTTTTGACAGGCCTTGACACTGGGCCAGCATGCCCCCATCCTCAGACAGACTGCAGCCCCTAGAAGCCCAAACACAGACTGTTCATGGCTACTCAGGGGAGGAAGGGGAAGGAGAAATGGTTCTTTGGGTAAATGTCTCCTCTTGACACAGGAGGTGACACTGCTTGCTACCCAAGTGTTAAATTTACAACATGTATACGTATATATTTTTTTTCGTAAATACAGTCCTGCACTTTTCACAGCATAGAAATTGAGTGAAAGACCACTGCTATTTTCAGGATTATTTCCTCCAGGGGAGGCCCGTCTTCAGAAGGTTCAAATTCAGAGGGCAAAAGAAGGCAACCAACTGCCTCCCTGCCCCATGGCTCCCAGGTGGAAGGGGGAAGGAAAGGGAAAAAGGATAAAAAGATAAGATAGGGAAGACGGCGTGATTTAAAAAAAAATCCAAAAAAGCATGAAAAGCCCAGGTGATTACTGAGGGTCTTATACCAACAACTAAAAGGGAAGTAAAGGAAACAGATGTATGCAAGAACTGAGACCAGCACCCAATATGTTTCCGTAAACCAGAGGCCAAAACGGGTTACCAAACCGTCACAAAGTTCCGAAAAGTGCAAAAAAGGTACCTGCGCATCTTCTATCTGAATTTTTTTTTTCAGAGCACTCCTATAACAGAATTACTCCTTCCAAAATACTTTAATAGTTCAATGCTGTGCTCACAATTACTGCCGATTTAGATGCTCTAAAATTCACAATTTATTACCATATATGTGATCATACGTGTGGGCGTACAAGTATCACACTACCATCCTGCTCTACAGATGAAATGGAGGTGTTTCAGTCTTGCCTTAGTTTACACAGAAAGTGAGTTAATGTGCTATTAGAACCATGGATAAAGATACTTGTGATTATGCAGTTGTACATATACACGTAGATGACCCATAAGCCATCATTTCCGGATTCTTTTTTTTTTTTTTTTGAGACCGAGTGTTGCCCTGTCGCCAGGCAATCTCTGCTCACTGCGACCTTCGCCTCAAGTGTTCAAGCGATTCCCCTGCCTCAGCCTCCTGAGTAGCTGGGACTACAGGCATGCACCACCATGCCCAGCTAATTTTTTTTTTTTTTTTTTTTTTTTTTAGTAGACACAGGGTTTCACCAAGTTGGCCAGGATGGTCTCGATCTCCTGACCTCGTGATCCACCCACCTTGGCCTCCCAAAGTGCTGGGATTACAGGCGTGAGCCACCGCGCCCAGCCCTCAGATTCTTATTAGAAGCAGGCTGAAGACGTGTACCCGTCTGTGAGATACACATGTGGGCGCACACACATCAACGTAACAGGTGAACAGCATTCCAGGTTCCAACTGCAGGGACCCTTCCAGGCTCCCCTTGCTTGATGGTTATCAAATATAAATCCTTCTATCTCTGACAGTATCTAAACCAAGTCTCTCTGTAAGGAGACTTCGAACTTCTGGCTTAGAAGCTGAGCAGGGAAGAGAGAAGAAAACAGCTGGAGAGAAAAGAAAGAATGTGTGGGCACGTATGTGAAGACGGGAACTCAGAAACGGGGCAGTCTGAAATGACCCCCTCAGAGCCGGGGGCACGGGGACGACTCCTACTCACATCCATTGGACGTTGTTTTTAGACTTCTTCTTAATGAGGTGGATGCCTTCCAGAACGTTGGTGATATCATAAATCCTTCTCTTTTGCACTTTTAGCACTTCTGCTGCCTTGTTCAAATCCAAGACCCCATCGGGCGACTGGCTGAGGAGCTGAATGAACTTCTTGGTGAGCAGACCAAGGGACGTATCATACCGCGTTTTTTCTGAGGGAGATTTTGGAGCTTAAAGAAAAACAAAAACCGAGCGGGAGGGGATGGGGGAAAGGTAAAGAGATGAAGGGTGTCTTTGCAGTCAAGCAAGCTCTCTTTCCCACTGCAGCCGAAGTATTAGTACCTGAAGCACGGCTGTCGCTGCTGGTGTTGGCAAGTCATAGAAAGCTATGAAAGTTCTTTATTAGACAAGTAGGAGACAGGAAAAATTCCAGGATTTCATGAAAGCATTTTACCTTGAAGGTCTCAAGAGTTTCTACCTTGGCTTACACTATTCCCTGGCTCTAACGAAGAACTTACACATAGTGGGTTCTAAAAAATATCTGTCAAATGAATGAAAGTGCTGTGGTCTCAGGGGACCAGGACACATGGGGCCTACCGTGATGGAGCGAGGCCGCGTATCACCTGTTCACCAATTTTTCTTTCCTTTTCTTTTTTTTTTGGAGACGAAGTCTCACTCTGTTGCCCAGGCTGGAGTGCAGTGGTGCAAGCCTGGCTCACTGCAAACTCCACCTCCCAGGTTCAAGGCATTCTCCTGCCTCAGCCTTCTGAGTAGCTGGGATTACAAACACACACCACCATGCCCAGCTAATTTATTATTACTATTATTATTATTTTGTATTTTTTAGTAGAGACGGGGTTTCACCATGTTGGTCAGGCTGGTCTTGAACTCCTGACCTCGTGATCTGCCCGACTCAGCCTCCCGAAGTGCTGGGATTACAGGCGTGAGCCACCATACCCAGCCCAATTTTTCAAATAATGCTTCGTTTGAGAAATAATTACCTAGAAAAGCTTTCTGCCAAATCTCCCCATCTCTCTTAAAGGAAATTTCCTTATTTAAAATTGTACTTGTTCCCCCATAGGTGCCACAGGTTAAGGTTTTAATTTAGCATCACGGATAATTTGTGGATTGCCTAATGCATGAACTACAGGAGAAGCTGGAACAAAATCTAATTTAGCCCTTATGTTAAATGCAAACACACACATAAAGGACCATTTGGCTACTTCTAACCTACGTTTCTCTCTCCCACAAGAAATGGTAATAGCATTCGATAGAAAGAAAACCAGCCTGCAATTTATTGGGCTCAATCAATTCTTTCACTTCCATATGCTGAGCTGGAGATTGAGGTCGGCACAGACACTAGTGACTCTAGCATAGTTCATGGACATCCAGCTTGCCTCAGACTCTGAAGCAATGTCCATTAAGGGAAGTTAAAATTAAATTTGATACAAAATGAGGCCAAAAGCTCGTATTCCGAATTGAAAAATGAAAGTGCATACAGTTTAACAAAGCCCTCCCTTATGGTACCAGCGTGACTCTGTAGCCTTTCGCCGGTTGTCTGCTGACACTGTATTTATTTTTTTGGATAAGCACAGAAAGAAATGAAAAGGAACAAAACATGCCAGAATTATTCACACCTTGGCATCCTTCCGGCCATAAGCTTTGAAAGTTGGAAATTCCACACCAAGGAGAATAAGGAAAGAGATGAAAGGATCCTTACTTTTTGGACTATCTGGACTTCGTAGTGCAGCTCTTCCTTTGCCCTTGGGGGTTTTTAAACCATCTGAGAGGTACTGATGACCGCTTTCTCCTAGCTCCAGCCTTCGCTTTGCCTGTAATAAGAAAGTGCGATCTCTCGTCACCGGTCATATGGACAAGAACAAGAAGGGAGGCAGTTTGTGGGCTGGCCTGCCAAATGCTGCGGGCTCGTGCCAGCTCTCACCCCTCTGCTCCACCCCACTCAGCATCTTGTCATTCCCTAGAGCCAGGATTCTAGCATTGGAGGCCAGGCTGTCACGCACAGTCGCTTCACCTGCCATGATCGTCCGTCCACACCCAGATGGACAAAACCGGCGATCCTCTAGCATTAGGTTCAGGAGTCACTTTGTTCATTGATTCAACACATCATGTGCCTGGCATGGGGCTGGATGCTAAGAATATCTCAGGCGCCATGGGACTTTGAAATTGACTTTCCACCATGACTCTCTCCTGCCCATCTCCTGTTCTCCGACCTGGGCTGGACCCCCTTCCTTATGCTCCCAAACACTCGGTGTTTACTTGTATCATGACACTTATTAGGTATTACTCTAAGACTTATCTGTTTCTCATTTCCTTTAAGGCAGGGACTGTTTCCCATTGATCTTTGTACACCCAATGCTTGGCACAGAGCCTGGGTTTCTGTAGATTTTCAATCGCTCTCTCTATATGCTGTATATTCAATGAGAGAAAGAGTAATTGAATAGTAACACAACTAGTCACAGACTACAAACGGTCCTTCATCAGAGAAACAAATACTGCAAACATGCAGTCTTGGGCTTCAACCAGTATTACTTTCTCCATTTTGTCACCAAGGCTGGCAAATGAGAAGCCCTTACCTAACTTTTTAATTTAACTACAATTCAATTATAAAATATCCACAGAGGGTCTTCTAGGTACCAGGCGTTGGGCTTAGGGAACAGAGGTAAGCAAGAGAGATTAGGGGCTTGAGTCCAAGAGAGAAGACAGATGATTAAGCAGTTGTTAAGTACTAATTGTATGCATATGACAGGTGTTCCAGGGACTCAATGGCACCAATCAGATACTCAGCACAAAAATTTGTATTTAGGCTCATTTTCACGCAAATTCTCCTTTTCTTTTTTTTGAGATGGAGTTTCACTCTTTGTCACCCAAGCTGGAGCGCAGTGGTGCAATTTCAGCTCACTGCAACCTCCACCTCCCGAGTTCAAGTGATTCTCCTGCCTCAGCCTCCAGAGTAGCTGGAACTACAGGCACACGCCACCACACCCAGCTAATTTTTGTATTTTTAGTAGAGACGGGGTTTAGTAGAGACCACGTTGGACAGGATGGTCTCCATCTCTTGCCTCGTGATCCGCCAGCCTTGGCCTCCAGAAGTGCTGGGATTACAGGTGTGAGCCACTGCGTCCTGTCTGAGGCAGATTCTTCTAATGAGAAGATTTGCAATTTCAAAACAACTCCCCAGGATGTGAAAACGTAAGTAATAATTTATCAGTGGAAGACATATCCAGCTCCTCTGTGGAAAGTTACCAGCTAATCCTGCACCGTCTACAAAGATAGCCACTGGTTGCTAGCTCATCCAAACTGACACGTGCTGTAAGTGTAAAATACACACTGAATTTTGAAGACTTTGTACAAAACAGGGTGAAATATCTCAACAATCTCGATAGTGATCACATGTTAAATGAAGTAAATAAAATACAACTGACCCTTGAACAACATGGGTTTGGACTGTATACGTCCACTTATTTTATTTTTTTAGAGACAGGGTCTTGCTCTGTTGCCCAGGCTGGAGTGCCGTGGTGTGATCTCAGCTCACTGCACTTCACAGGCTCAAGGAATCCTCCCATCTCAGCCTCCTGAGTAGATGGGACCACAGGTGCACACCACAACGTCTGGCTAATTTTTAAATTTTTTTGGTGGAGACAGGACATCCCTATGTTGCCTAGGCTGGCGTTGAACTCTTGGGCTCAGACAGTCCTCCCGCCTCATCCTTCCAAGTGCTGGGATTACAGGTATGAGCCACTGCATCCAGCCATGAGTGTGTCCACTTATATGCAGGTTTTCTTCCTCCTCTGCCATCTCTGAGACTGTAAGACCAACCCCTCCTCTTTTTCTTTCACCACAGCTTCCTGAATGTGAAGATGACGAGGATGAATTTTATGACGATCCAGTTCCAGTAATGAATAGTAAATCTATTTTCCCTTCCTTATGCCTTTTTTTTTGCATCCAGCTGCTCTGTATGCCCATTTGCCTTCTATACGTTGAACCCTGGACCAAGGTCAGCTGCTGGGGAATGGAAATGCTAGAGCATACCTAAGATGCATTGGATCAGAAACTCTGGGAATGGGGCGGCTGAGCAATCTAACATGCCTTCCAGGTGATTCCAATACATCTTAAAGTTGGAGAAACCCAGCTTTAGATCTTAGGGGAAAAGAGTGAGACACTCAGGCAAACCCCACTCTGGCCAGCATGGACTGCTTCACACACCCTCACCTCTAGTCCTGCTTGGCTGATGAAGGAGATCCATCCTATGGATTCCACTTTCATTCACACCAAACCTTCTTTAATCACATTTTCTCTTTAACTTAATTGTAAGAATACAGTATATAATACATGTAACATACAGAATGTGTTAATTGACTGTTTACGTTACTGGTAAGGCTTCCAGTCAACAGTAGGCTATTGGGGCTGGGTGCGGGGCTCACACCTATAATCCCAACTACTTGGGAGGGTGGCTGGAGGCCAAGCGTTCAAGATCAGCCTGAGCAACGTAGCAAGGCCCCCGTCACTAAAATAATAATAATGAAAACCCCAAACAGCGGCTATTAGTTAAGTTTGGGGGAGTCAAAAGACATATCTACATTTTTTACTGTGTCAGGGCACCTCTAACCCCAGTATTGTTAATGGGTCAAGGGTAGCATTAGAATTATTCCATCTCTGTGTGTGTGTGTGTGTGTGTGTATTTACAATGTGGCTTGCCTCAGTGGCACACGTTATCTTTCTACTGCAGTGCTGAATTAAAAACATTACTCTGATGGCCCCGGAAGGACAATTTGCTTGCTGGACTTCAGCTTCTGTTCCAGCCGTTCCGTCAAGTCCGTGTGTGGGCCTGCCAGCAAACATTCCCTCTTTATCGGGCAGAAGCTCCCTGTATGTTCCTTGGGGAGCCATCCCTTCCGGGGTCCAGGTGCATCTGTGCACACAGGTGATCCCGGCCTGGCTAATCATTGCGTCCCACCCTGTCCTCCCCACCCCTCCGCGAACAGGCTGAATGGCCCATGACCAAGGCTGGGGGAGCAAAGGCTAATCCCAGGAATGTTTCCGGAACTACCTGGCAAGAAGCGGGTATGTCTTTCCAGTAGGGTTGGTAAGTGAGGAGCCTAAAGCTGCCTGAGAATGGGGCCTCCCCAGGGGAAAGCAGAGTGGAGAGAAGGAGAGAGAGGGGTCTGAGACCGCCACTCAAGACTCTGGGCAGCAGCTGGTCTTTCCTAGACTTTCCGGTGACATTAGCCAAAGAACTCTCCTTTCTGCTGAAAGCGCTGTGAGTCGGGAACCTGGAAGTGCGCTGTTTGTCAGTGACAGCCTGCGGAATTGGCTGAGTCAAGATGGCTATGGTGCCATCATATGGTAATTCAGGCCTTGTTAGAGTGGCAGAGTGTGCTGGTCACTTCTTCTGGCTGCCAGGATGACACTGCAGATATAGAGAAACTTCATCTGAGGCTGGCCCGCCTCAAAGAAAACAGCTTTGCTATGGAGGCCTTCTCTGCAGAAAGCCGTCTAAGAAGACACAGAGCTGTATTCTCTGCCCAAATTAAAGTCAACAGTTGGGCTGGGTGTCGTAGCTCACGCCTGTAATCCCAGCACTTTGAGGCCGAGGTGGGCAGATCACCTGAGGCCAGGAGTTTGAGACCAGCCTGGTGAAACCCTGACTCTACTAAAAACACAAACGTGAGCCCGGCGTGGTGGCACGCACCTGTAGTCCCAGCTACTCAGGAGGCTGAGGCACGAGAACTGCTTGAACCCAGGAGGTGGAGGCTGGTACCACTGCGATCTAGCCTAGGTGACTGAGCAAGACTGTCTCAAAAAATAAAAATAAAATCAACAGAAGGAAGGCCAAGTTGGAAACGAGTCTGGGACCCAGAGCTCGTAGGGCCCTGTGCCTCCGCAGTAAAGAACCACCCACTGGCCAACAGGCTGGGGGCTATTAGTTTTGCCTCTCCCTCCCAGGCTACCCTTGCAGATTGCCATGAGGCAAAGAATCTATGGAAGCATAGAACTGTAGGTTAGGGAAATTTCCAGAGGTCTGCTGCTAAGTAGCTGAGACCTAAATCCAAAAGACCAGGACCAGTTTTCATGTAGGACTCTGGTTACTAAGCACCAAATCATAAATTGACGAAACCTAAATGCCAGATGGACAAGCTACTAAAATTTAAAGGAACTTTTACTGCCAGAGAATCACTAAGTCTAGAAAGTGAAGGCCCATGATATTGAACCTCTAAGGAAATCAATCGCTAGGTCAGAAAGCCACACCAGAAGTGAGTGAGGTGTGAATGAGGGGCAGCCCCAGAATTCCTCCCGGGAGGTGGACTCGGGGTGGACTTATCGGCTCTATGAGCTGCTATCCCTGTTGAGGACACGACAAGAAGGAGGAGACTACTTTATGTCGTTTCTTCTTTCCCAAACGGAGGTTCCTGCTGGGTTCTCCTGTTATTTTTCCTCCCCTGTTTAGTTAACAGCGAGGGGAGAACCGGATTTGTGGAGACCACATATTACCAGTTTGGCCTCAGATCTGAACATGGGTGCAATAATTAGACTCTCCTGAAAAGGGCTAAGAATTTCCATATTGGATGGAGCAGCATTATTTTCATGCTTAACCTAGAAAAATCAAGTGTACATGCTTGGTAAAACAATAAACCATATGGCAGGATTTAAATAGCACAGGTGACCTCTGTCTATACCACCCTGCCCTGGGTTGAGCATCAGGGTAGAGGGAAACCTCTTCTCTTGATCATCTCAATTTCTGTTAGCTCACGGTGTGAGCACTGTGCTGACCAGAGAGGTATTCATTGTTTATGCACACATGTTTACATTGCAT